TCACATCAAACCTTTAAATTGTGGAATGTTTTCTTTATTTCAGATACGTCATCAGGCGATCGAAGTCAATTTTACACCCGTTTTTCGGATTCTCCTTGCATCTGATACCGACTGCAAGCTATGGCTTGGACTTACAATACCCTTTCTCCTGGGTTACGATCACGAACCCTTTTGGTTTTAATTATACTATGCTAGTCGTAATATTTTTGCAATTTTTAAGGCACTACAGCCTTTTGCTAAGTCAATCTACAGCCATCGCAAGCTGAATTATAAAGGGCGGCCAATACTGCTGGGTTGATTATAGCAGGCAAAGCATTTTTTGTCAATTCCATAATATTCCGGAAAATATTTGAAGAGGACAGAAACATTTATTTGAAGATTTTATTTCTTTAATTGCCTAAATTGTTCTGCATCTTATTTTGAACTATTATTAGTTATGCTATTTGTAAAACATAGTCAATTATGCTCACAAAAGGTAATTCTTCGAAGATTTGTAATGACTTTATTTTATTAAAGAATTCATGAGTCTACAATAGCTTCAAGTATCCTGATGATGAAAGCCTTCAATTGTCTTTTTGCAAGCTTATTACTATTACTTTCACTCCATAAAATCTCTCTGCTTTATTGTCACTTTTAAATTAACCTCCAAATTTTTTTCTTCTGTTGTTTATTACACTTGATTGGTTTTAATTGAAAATCTCTAACTACACTATACGAAATAATTTCTTCTGTGCCAAAGGAGAAAATAATTTATGATACATAACAAGATATGGCAGTTAACTAACTTTGTGATTGCGTTTGCTACGGCCCGGTTATATGCTTTCGACAGGTCTGAAAATTAATAACAGTCGGTTTAGATATACATCGAAACGTATATCATTTCCTGTTTGGCTTTTTGTTTCTTAGTTATAAATGTGAAGAAAAAAACAATAAAGCCTATTGTACAAAAATCTCTGATTACTGTAGATCTCCATTCGCCCACTACCAATTTAAAGAAAATACGTATATAGCAATAAATTTTTCGAATTTCACAAGTTATTGTTGTTTTTGTTAGAAGTTATTTTGACTAAAAAACAAAAAAAAGTTGTGAGACTAGAAAGTGGGATGGGCACTAGCAAACAAGACTGTGGGCTCTCCTTTATTTATTTATTTGATTTTTTTTTTTTTTTTTTTTTTGTTCATGTTCAGATCTCCCGATACTTCCAAGCAGCTGGACTATCCGACAGCAAGCCTTCGAATATTTGGAGGTTTTTGTCATTTACTACGTGCTTATCCCGACTGCAATGTTAAATAAAACTTTTACCCGCTTCTCTAAAAGCTTCATGTCGTTAGACAAAAAAAATGGATCAATTTGGTTAAATTGCTTCTATTGCTATATATGCCGTTTACTAAAATGTTTACACTTTAAGGGATCTTCGATGCGTGTTTGTATGCATTGTCAGTATGAGTTGACAAATCTGGCGTACTTCCTGCACAAAATATAAAAACAAGAACTTTATGTGCCCATAATAATAAAATAAAATACGAAAACTGAAATCATTTACATATTATATGGCATTAGCATGAACTTTGCTGTGCGACATTTCTTTTCAAAGAGCAAAAACTAATTTGAGTTCAGTAGTTAAGAAATACTTTGCATTTGTGTTCGCCTTGTAGAGTAAATAGATTTCCTATTGTTTTAATTCAATACACTTTTCCTATAATGAATTGAGAGCAATAAATTAACAATTGGTCTTAGCTTGCTTGGCATTCATTCGTAAGGTAGGATCAACTTCCACATTGCGAAGGAAGAAAAAATTGTCAAAGAGAAAAAGAGATTCATTTTCACAGTACGCGTTAGTGTACAAACATACATTTTCGTTTTTTCTTTTCAATTTTTCCCATTTTCTATAAAATTTCTCTTTTGCTATAGGGTTTCGAAACTCGTATATAAGTCACTAAATAAAGTATGAACGGAAGCGTTGTGAGGTAAAATAAAAATCAAAAAAAAAAAAAAATAAAAATAATTTCACATATGTGTCTAAGAATTATGATATACAGGATATAAAAGAGGATTTTTCTAAATCTGCTAAGTCTCATATGCTCATACACGCTTAATGGTAACCTACTACTACTACTACTCAATTAGAAGGCAAACCATTACTTAACATTCCGTAACATAAACCAAAAACATTTCTTCGTAAAACGAGTTTCCTTTTCTTCTTCCAATATCTCTTTCCATTTTATCCCTTAATAGTTTTCTGCCGGAATTTTGTACTTAAATGCATAGGCATAACCACAAAGAGGTCACACAATACTGTTTACTTTAATATCTTTCCCTGAAGTTAAATGTACATTAAGTCTCTCTTGTCTGTGCGAAAAACTTAAATTCGTTGCATTGTTCGGATTTAATGGATGTCTTAATCAAAAACAGGAAATTCAATAAACATTTTACAAGCCAAAAATGCTGGTCTTTTTATACGCTACACAACTTGTGGTTCTGTTTAAAAAAAAATTAAGTTTATGCGTACATATGAAGCGCTTAAGGTAGACCCAACTTTCATTATACCGTCCGATTCAGAATCATTTTCTAAAACTGATCTAAGCTTCTTTATCCGTCTGTCCGTTTGATGTCTGTCGCTTTAAATTTGTGTATCTTAATGAAATTTGGTACACTAACGTGTTTTGAAAATGGTTTTGATCGGTCCACGTTTTCGACCAGCCTCCATATATAACGCCCAATTTCGAAAAAATTGCAATTTTCAGAATTTCCCGTCAAAAGTGGTTAAGTAATGGTATTTCGGCATTCTAAATTAGTTTGAAAACTTTGGACCCAATGAGGCAATTTTCCGATCCCTCTCTTATATAACGAAAACTAGAGGTCTATTTTCCAATGTTTCGCGATGAAAATCCGATCATAATAGTATTTAAGACAAAAAAAATTAACTGCACCAAATTTCAACCAACTCCGTCTCTTTTTGGTTCCTAACCTGTATAGAGATTTTCACGAAAATTAATCCTTCGTAGGGCAGACAAGTCTAAATTTTAATATCTTATGATGAAACGTAACCCATTATAGTCATTTACATAAAATAATTCACTGTATCAAATTTGGATCAACGACGCCTAATTGTGAAAACCGATTTTCTATACTATTAGGCGTGCCTGATTTTTTTATTTTCGTAATAAGTAAAAAAAGTGAATTTTGTCACTTCCAAAAGTGAGTATATTCTCAATTGATGTTCTATTGTAGGCCTAATCCCGTGACCGATTTTACGCAATTTCTAATACCAAGGATTTCCACTACGTTGACCAATTTTAAAAACGACATCTTGATTTTCACGGCCGGCTATATGGTTACAAGAAGACTGACGGATGGATGTTGCTAGATCGATTTACATTTTGATATTGATCAGGAATGTATGTATATACTTTATAGGGTGTCTGAAATTAACTTCTGCCTTTCGACGAAATGAAGATCTCTCCTGTGGGTACAAATTGCAAAAAAGGCGACATATCTATTTTCGCCTTATTGTGACTACCATTTTACGATAAAAACAAGTGAAGAACAATCAAGTCTTTGATAATATAACAAGTTTTTTGAGAAATTTACTTTACCCAATTTGGACTGCCACGACTTTGATTTGGTGGTCTCTCCTGTATAAAAGGTCTTATTAAAGGTAGCCGTTAACATAGTAACGAGGTACATTATTAGGTATTAGACGAAGGGATGTCAAGCGTTTGATAAGTGACCTTTTCCGATTATAACGCTCAAATTTATTTTGTCAATCTATTGTCAATACCAGCGGGAAGTACGGAAACGAGACACTACTAGCAATCGACTCAGAATACGGCGTTGACCTCGTTTGGGGCTTTTAAGGCGCACTTTAAAATATTGAGAAAAAAAACGAATACTTCTTAAAAACAATCAGCAGTTGACTGAAGAGGCATTACCTCAACATAGAAGATAATAACAAAACCGAAGGGTATGGAGAAAACATAGCTATGCAAATATATGCCATTACAATGATATTCGACGAAATTTGGATATTGGAGCATAGATATTCAGGCATAGGCAGAGACATTTCGTTGGTTAAACTCAAAAAGTGGGCTTAACTTATACAGGCTGCGGTAATTCTACGCGTTGTTACATTACAAAAATCTAATAATGACTCCGCTTTCTACATTTTATTGCCTGGCATTATTCTCATTGTCACTTCCAAATTTATAACCTATCGTCCTCTTGATGATAAAGAGTGCGCATGATGATGAATAGTGCTACGCTTACGCCCGTTTAATAAGTTGTTCAATATTCAAAACGCTTTTATGACAGATTTCAATAAAAAGGTATGGACTACCACTTCTGTAGGAGACTTCATTGATAAATAAAATTTATTTTAAAAAAAAATTTAGGATTTTTTCTTACTTAAGGAAGTAGTGACCGACATGTTACGCATGGCTTCCTATATACACATACTTTCCCACACCTCAATGTGTTACGCAAAAAATAATTTTTGCAAAAATCTAGGGAAGCTTGATATTAAAAGTGAGCGAAGCCTATATATGAAAACGTTATTTATTTGTGAACATCGCCAAAAAAAGTATTCATAACTTAACTGGCATTTATACATCCCGAAAACGAAAAAGTTTTAATTTTCTTTTCTTACTGCTAAGGAAAATAGTAATAACTAGTATTCTTAGTGAAACCAAAATAAAACAATTTTTGTTTAATTAAACTGCAACAGGCTTAAATGTATAACATACATAAAACTTTATCGTTCACGCAAAGAAGATGCAAAGAAGGCAGCGGGAGAGGGAAAAAATAAAGAGAAAGAGCGAGACGAATAATTATAATATATAAGACTTTTCGTAGCATGCTGAAAGAATCTGCGAGGCTTCTGGAGCAAAAGAGAAGCAATTAATTGCTTAACTAAAACTTCGATAACGTAAACATGGAAGAAAAGTAAAGGTTACCAGAAAATGTCAAACGGTGAAATTTGCTATACCGTTATATCCATATTTCATGTCATGATACTTGTACATGATACGATTAAAGTACAGTTCCGTATACACTTACCAGCATATGTAGCTTCAATAATGACATCCTCCAAATGGCGTACATTGGTTATTTCCAACTCATCTAACAGCACTGCATAAGGTATGCATTTATCTCTAATAGCCAATGAGACAATAGTTAAATGTTGTAATTTTTTTTGCATAGCTCCTGTTAGGTCCAAGTAATCTTCACTTTTTTGACGGTATTGCTTATAAGTTCCATAGGCAAACAAATTTAAAGTATTATAGTATTTAGCATGTTCACCGTTTTCCAACTAAATATTGAAAATAAGAAAGCATAGAACAATTTTTGTTTGCTTCCCTGGTTGCCTCAAGACATATTTGCTACATTACCTCTTTTATTTGTGGCATGGCTAATAACTCGCCAAATACATATATATGGGGAGCTTCTAAGACTTGTTTAATTAATTCCAGCAGCGCAAGTCCATGAGCTGATTTGGCCAACAAACAAAATTGTTGTAGCTGGTTGCGTGCACTCTCATTGCCTCCTATGGGCGGGCATTCATCACTTTTCATTAAAATATCGTCAGCCATTTTGCAAAAAACTTTTTCAAACACTCACTGCAAAATTTATTGTTTTATATTTTAAATTCCTTGATGTTTTCTAGAAATTCTTCTACAAATTTTAACACAATATTTCTGCTGCTTAGACACATATGTTTTCTTGTCATGCCGGCTGTTATTTTTATCGTGGGCAGTGAGTAAGACAGGGTTGTTTACAATTTTTAGAATGTACAAATAGCGCACACTTTATATCGTACGTTCAAAGTTTGCTTGCAGTAAAAAACAACATTGAGTAGACGTTTTAATTATAGAGTAAATCAAAAGAATTAAATTATAGCCAAGTATATTAGTCGTATCGTTAATGGCTGCAAATTTATCAGAAAAAAAGTTTTTAATTGGTAGGAAAAATTCATTCGCTGATACAAATCGTTTCCTTCATATTTCGAATCTTCGCTCAGGCGCACCAAACCAGCCGCCTGAATCAAACGAATCCCTGGAAAACCGAGGTCTAATGTAATAGCTGTTAACTTCTAATTCTCTTCGTACACAATAAAAGCCTTTGAAATTTATTTGTATTTATTTAAAAGCGTGTCCAAACAAGAACACGTTAGAACTGCTTCACTGAAACGTTTGATCAGTAGATACCTAGCTAAGAACGATTCGAAGCTAACGGAATGAAAGTTTGCAAAAAAATTTTCACAATTAAATTCCAATTCGACTAGAATTATATATTTTCTTTCAGAAGGCGTAAAACGTGGGATTTTCTCTTTGACATATGTAGCAAAAATATCACTTTCGAAACAGGAAATCGTCAAGGGATGCGAATGAGGAGAATTGTTTCAAGATGGAAGGACAATTTTACAGTTCTGGACTTGCATGGTATTGAAAACAGACGGTAAACAGTTTGTTGTAATAAAAAAATATGTCTGTAAGACATTTTCACATTCATCTTCTTGTTGTTCAACTTGTTCTACATTCCATAAGTCCTTTTACTTCCTCGCGACATCTACGATACGTTTCCTAAAAGTAAAACATTCTCGGCATAACAGACCTACGAAAGCAAATTTTTTGGCTTCACAACATAAAAGTGGCGCTCATTTAAGAATTTTATTATTTTTTCAAGCAACATTTTGCTTTGATTGACTTTTTCTCAAATAAAATTTATTAAAACGCAAAATGTGCTTGGACTATACACAATAACAATATAAGCGAAGATAATAATTGCCACTTGCGACACTTGAAAATACCGGTTAAATGCAATTTCTAAACAAGTCAACAACATATGTTAACAGTCGGCTTCCAAAAAAGGAAAATAACAATGCCAGCACCTGAAATGAACAAAAAGTGTCACAGCAGCAGGCTAAAAGTTTATCTACCTTGGAATGCGCTAATTCTTCATACCGATGAACGTATGAACGACCGGGAGAATTGGAAAGAATCGTTCTTAGCGAAAAGATCTGTTTAATGAGTTAAGTGAGCAAATCTGATGCGTATGACGCAGGTCAGATATACAGGTTAGCTGATAGTCGATTACTGCTTTCTCACATATTAATAATAAACTACTCTTCGAGAACTTCTTGGTATTTAATAATAAATTTCAAAAAAAAGTTACTTGGCGCAATTAATGAGATTAACACACAGAATTTATTTATTGAGCTCTAAAATAAAAATGAAAACAACGCGCAAACGTATCTGTTTCCTATTAATCCATTTGTAGCGTCGCTTTCATTTCATTATTGAGATACTCTTTTCTGTTTCTGCTTCTGCTGACTTCTTCGAGCAACGCAAACTGGCAGCATGGAAGGCGTAGTTGTTTGATTTTTAGAAGAAGCGAGAAGAGAGTTTCTTTCATAACTACGTTGACATGGCCGGCTCGACGCTACGGGAGAAAAGCTAAATCGAAGAGAAGGTTGTTTGGCAAACAAACGAATGAATTTTTTCGATATTTCACCCTTCGTCTTATGTTTTGTCTGAGGGTGCGTATCGTGTAAGCTAGGCAAGCTTCTAGAATTTTGCATTTTATTACTTGTATCGCTATTGGGTAAGTTCCGTTTATAGCTCACTTTCAACACTAATATCGAGTTCCCATCAGGTGTGACAATCTGTTCGAGTCTCACTACAGGTTTGATCAATTCAGCCTTTTCCGTCTTTAACGATCTCTCTGACGCACCGATCTCTTCTTTCTCCGACCATTTAATATTGTATACATACATTATCATCAATGTCATTATTCCCACAACTACAACCTCAATCAAGAAGAAATAAATTTTACGCAATAGCACATTTGTCGCCGAGTAGATGGCAGGCCATGGTTCTTCCTTGGGGTGTTCGGTTATAAGCGCCGCAAAGAAGGAACGACATATATCGAATTCCAAACGATTTGGATATAGTCCGGCTGAAATATTCCCACATGCAAGGTGAGTATTACTTTCATATAATATGGAATCGATTACGCTCATTAAGTTCATGCAGTTACGATGGATTGAATTCATTTTCAGTTCCAATTCCTCACACGTTACTTAATTTTTTATATTCAATTTAAGTAATATTTGCAGTAATGAAATTTTTCCTTCACTTCCCTTGGACAATCACGAATAGGGTGAAATTTTTATTTCGTGGAAAATAAAACGCAAAAATTTTAAAGCAGAATTAAACGCAACAAAATTTTCATTGACATTATAATCGAAATTGAGTTGTTTGTCTAAGTTTTTCCTTTATATTAATTTATGTACATTCACTATCAGCGAGCATTCGAATATTAACTCCGTACAACAGCTATCCTGCAGGGCAACGCACAAAATAATTAACAGCCATATATAGCTAGCAACACACACGATGGCAATTGTAAATAAATATACACTTGTACGTTTGTATATGCTTGATGTGCATAAGTGAATGTTGGCGACAGATGAACGTGAATGGAAATTTTCCAGCTTTGGTTTGGATTTATTTTATTTATTTATTTCTTCTATCAGAGATTATTACGGCGAATTTGCGAAGGATTTAAGAATAAATAAATAAATCAAACCATATATGATTTCGTGCATTTTGTCAAAAAAGGAAAACTGACAAAAATCGTCTCCTCTCTATAGCCTACCGAGCCTTAAGTTACTTGACCTACAACATTTGCTTATTTTATTTATTGGACATCAATAGTTGGAAAGACATATTCTTATGATTATACATATATAGTTATCCGCCTCGGTGGCCAAAGGCAAAGAATCTCGACTAGCAACTCAATGATACTATTTGGGTCGAATCTCAAGTGCGGTAGAGTTGTCAACAAAGTCAATAGCCTTTAGATGCTAGTGCTTTAAGATGCTAGTCTTAGAATATATTGCTTCGGCGAAACTAATACAAATAACGATAATAAAGATGTATCGTTGTGAATATCGACGTAGGCAGGTCCGTAGCAAGTTTTGAGAAAACGAAATGAGGATAATGATAATCAGTGATAAAGCTTAAGAGAATCTTTTCATCTGAGAAAAACTTTTAGTCAAACGGTTTCATAGTCCCCAATACTTAGGAGACAGGTGTTCTGACCATGAATATAATTACGTTCATTTTGGAAGTGCTGCAAGTCCATATTGTTCATTTGAAATTTCCTTGAAAAGCGTCCTTGAAAAATGTGTGTCAACACAAGGTGTATCTTGAAAGGAAGACAAAATCTTAAAAAAGAACGAAAAAAAAAAATATTGTACGGAAAAAAAAAAATATTGTTTCCACTTTATTGATTGCCCTTTGCTTCAAAAAAACATTTTTCAAAGTAATTTTTCGCTTTATTAATTTTGCACTTCATTAATATTTATGTAAACAAACACCAAGCTTTAGGTTTTCTTAGGTTTAGCAACACAGGCTATGTGTTCAATTGTGCACGCAGAAAGCAATTGCGGTATGGTTAGTGATATGTTGTTCTTAATGTTTTTTAAAATAAAATCTCGGAAAAAGAGAGTAAAGAACATAAAGAAATTTAGTAAAGAATGTTGTAATGGAGTATATAGAACAGCAATGTTCTGATATTGTTCTTTTACAAAAATCTTAAAGTTTTAGCAGATCATAGCCACCGCCAATATAAGGTGCCTGAACCGCGGTTCGATGATTTTGAAAAATCAAGGTTCAGGCTTAAGGAAGATAGGTTAGAATATAAATCTACTTTATGGTGACAAATTAGGCAAAGAATTTTGCCATAGACGCGACAACTAAGCTAGAAGAAAAGCACGGGGATTCGATGTTGTAATGATTATTTACCGTTTGAAATAACTTCCTCTAAAGAAAGTAATCAAATTTAATAACATCTAGCTATAGACATCAACCAATGCCAGGGTCTGGGTTCACTAGAGCGCCTTATTGCACTATGTGTTCGCAATGATTTTAAACTTAAATACAATGAATGTAAGCCTGTGTGTATCATCAGAATATTCTTAAAATAACAAATCTTCGCTACTAAGATTCCTATTACGATCTCAAAATTTGCTTTCAAAAACTGAAATCATTTTTCTAATTGTTATATAAAAAGAAGGAAAAACATTATTAGTGGACCATGGCCTACCACTAAATACCATGTATCACTTCGCACTTCACTATCTTTTGTCCACAGTAGTAACACTATAATGTGTTTCCTTTAGTTTTTACCGTGTGCGCTATAGAAATTGAACACTTTAGAGTGCCATTACTATCTTGCTTTACATTTAATTCCATTTAATTGCTTCACACACAATAATCTTGTGGTCTACCTTGGGTATACTACCTTTCACAATACGTTGATATATTTTTTTATAAATTCTCTTTGCTGTCACTCAAATGTTCTTTGATTTCTTTACATTCATACAATCATACATTTGATTTTTTGAAGGCATTTAAGAGCCAACCAAATTGACTCAAATATGCCACAATCTTTGGTGCTCGATAATGTCATAGGTATAAAGTGAAAGTATTAAAGAGAGTGAGGGATTATACGATGCCCTGCAACCGTCTAAATATGCACATATCGACGACCAGCATCTTTATATAAAAGAAATTCGAAAACTTAAATGCTATCGCCTTACGACTTTAACAAGTCGGATTGCTAAGTTCAAAAAGCGTTTTTAACGATCAAATCATTTACTTTAAAATGCTTATGTTTTACTTACACATTAGTATAACGTATTTAGAAAAAGGTGGCAAAAAAATAAATTCAAAAGAATAAAT